AGAGTTTGTTAATCGGTCACAAAACAAAAAATTAATTGGTCTAAAGTTATTTATCGATCAAAAATTATAAATTTTATAGATCACAATTTATTTCACGATCACAAATTATCAAATTAATTGGTCACAAATTATTTTTCAATCATATTAAAAAAATTTATAAGTCACAAATTATTTCACAATTACAAATTGAAACTTTTATGAGTCACAACTTTTTCATCCACAAATTTATAAAATTAATAAGTCACATATTATTCATTGGTCACAAATCACAAATTATTTTAACATCACAATTCAAAAATGGTATAGATCACACTTTGTTCATCGATCACAAAATAAAAATTGAAACGTCACAATTTATTTATAGGTCACAAATCACAATTATTAAATGTTAAAACTTATTAGACAGTCATAAATTATCAAATTATCGATTACAAATTAACAATTTTTTAGGTCACACGTTATTTTTTTGTCACAATTTATCTTTTTTATTTGTTGAATATTATTTATGGGTCACAAATTAATCAATTTAATGGTCATAAACAACGAAATAATCTGTGACCACCACCTCACGAATGGCAACCGAAACTCTGTCGCCGGAACCACCACTATCACCTCCCCGACAGCAAACCATCATCTAAAAATACCAACATGACCACGACCACCCACCCACAACCACCACACCTCCCACCACTAAAAACACAAAACTTCCACCACCAACCCCTAACTCATCCCACAACCAAAAAAAAAAAAATCCCCAACCCTACCACCATCAACGTCACCTACCACCACCAACACTGCCACCATCTACATCACCCAACCACAATACACCAAGGCACCAACTGAAAGCAGCATCACCACTTCACCGTCTCCGTCGCCACAACCTCCAATAAAATACAAAATTCAACTTCAAAACCACCATCACGACTCCCTACCACAACCACTGACAAATCACCACTAACTGTCGGATCCACCGCCGCCGCCACTACCAAAACCAACAAAACCCATCAAATCCACCGTCGATCCAACAAAACCACCACCACAGCCAAATCCATCACCGCCGCTACCAACAAAAACCATTCCCAAATCACGAAGCAGCGCACATCCTACCATCACCCCACTGTTGCTGCTACTGCAGTAGCTATTCAACTCCACAATGTCCATCAACCACCACAAACTCATAACTCCCCCGCAAAAATTGCAAAAAACTCATAAAAAAATACAGTGGCGATTCGCACGAATAATCGCCACTACTTCGTGTTTGTGCACAACGTCACCGGACGAGGCACACCATCTCGTAGAGGCTGGCTGCCAGCGGAGAGTGAGGAGAT